ATACGTATTGGAAAATATTGCAATACGGTTTTGTCGTATTGCAATATATTGCAATACGGTTTTTGGTCGCAATACTCACCCCTACCGTCTAGTAAATATCAGCATCCTACATTCACGCACGCAAGCATGCATGCTCACTCCCACGCGCATATGCAAATAATCAAACCTAGGTATTCTAATATTGCACTGCATCCCAGTTACTGATAATTTACATTTTCATAGACAAATATTCTAAAACTAGAGAGAATTTGGTGATTCATGCACACCCATCATGATCAGAGGTGCCACCTGAATATCTGTGCAAATTATCTAAGCCAATTACCTAAGCAAAATGACTGTGAGAAGACTTACTGTTGTGTAGTAAAACATCACATCTGCAGCAGTCATGTTGCCATGGAGGATGTGTTCCTTTAAATGCTGTATTAGCGTTCCCTGTGAGTAAACAAAGATTGAAGAAAGAAGCAAGGAAGAAGAAAGAAGAAAGAAACATATAAAAAAAGAAAGAAGAAAGTCCACATTGAAAAACACTGCGAATATGCCGACTTATCCCCCTCCCCCCATAGACACAAATAATGCTCTTTTCTGATATGGCATAGGCCAACACGCATGTTTCCCTCTGTACACTTAAAATGTACCTGCAACCCTAACCCTATATATAACCCTCTACTTACCCCTGCTGAATGGACCATGCACTTTGGTGGACCTGTTGTCCCGGACGAGTACATGACGAAGAGTGGATGATTGAAGGGAAGCTGTTCAAAGGTCAGAATCGGGTCATGGTCAGCCATTTGGCCACTGTTTAGGAAATCACTGAGAAACACGCTGAAATAGCAAAGTGATCGATCAGACATTCACAGTTTCTCGTGACTAGATGGATTGCTATCTATTTTTTTGAAAGCCAACATGATTTTTTATAGAAAACTAAGTGACTTGCAATGATACAAGTAGATAAGGTATCTTAGATGACAGTCCATATAAGCGTTAATCATGTAGCTACATTTCAAATGTCCACTGAGGGACGTGACTATAGATATGTAATTAGACAATACCTTTTTGGAATTGTGGAAATGTCCATGTCTGTCTGAGCACCACAAAATGGAATCATAATAACTTGGTCAACATCTGGGAGGCCTACAAGCAAACACAGCAGATGTATAAACTCAACCACTGAGAATCTGTGCATGAACACTGCTAACGTGCCTTAATTACCATTGCAGCACCTATGGCTGGCACGGCACAATACATGATCTATGGGTAAGAATATGACCTCATCTGCCAACTTTTGTCTTCTTGCTATAAATTCTCTTATAAACTATGTCGTATTTACACTCGATGTGCCCAGCAATTGTACTTGAGTTCACAACAATGTCATCAGATGAACATTTTAACAAAAAATAATGATAAAAACATTTGACGCCAGTTGGCAGTATGCACACTTCGTCAGCTCCCCTGGCAAGTACATAAAACATGGACGGCAAACTTGATTACAAGTAAGATAGATGGAAACCTATGATTCAATACCAAATGCATGCTTCGTACCTTGAACAACAGCAAGAAGCTTGTCCATGTGGTTGTGTTTTTTGCCATTGTAGATTACAGCTTCAACAGAGAAGAGTAACTTTGGCTTTATCTGTGTGAACCTGTCAAGCACTCCCTGCAAACAAGGGCAGTAGACAAACAATATTACAGCTTAAGCTGCTTACACTGAATTCAAAATTGCTAAATGGCTGAGTGCACCAACGCATGGTTCTCCATGTATAGTTTAAATATTCTATGCAGATGCTCTGGGTGTAATTAAGGAGAAAGTTTTGTTTATATGCACAGAAAACACGATTTTATGAAAAGGTACAAACTTTTATTGATGATATTATTCCTATTATGTTTGTTTTGTTATGGTTACCCAGGCTTCTACACAAACAAGGAGCATCAACCAACAAACTTCTAAGGGGCTCTTTTACACACAGGTGTATTGCTTTGCTAACGTCACAGGGTCAACTGCACCGGCTCACAGTCTAAGAACGATTCTATCAATGCCTTCACCCTTCTACTCTGCAGTGGTGCCTGGGGATCACTGCCGTTAAGCAAGAGTTGAGTTCATACATGGAATGATGCTGTTATATCATTCCAATCAGGCATTGAGACACTCACAGACACACCGAAGTCGGGCGATGTGGAGCTCCATACGGCCCCAATACTTGCAGCTGCCAACATCGCCTCCACAGCCTCGGGACAGTTTGGCAGGTAGCCGACGACTCTGTCGCCTATCCGCACTCCAGCTGCCTTCATGGCTGCTGCGTACCTGGCCACCTGCTGCCTGAGCTCGGCAAACGTTATCTTCCGGATGCAACTCAGGCGCCCCTCACCTACGGCAGGACATGCGACACTGTTAATCTCTTACCTCGACGCTTAAAGCCCAGTAACATCACCGAGTTACACATGTAGTACCGAGTACACCGTACTATTATAAATCATACCTGTGCTATAGACGGCTACCCTATTTCCATCATGCTTCAGCAGGTTTTCAGCATAGTTCAGCCGTGCTCCTTCAAACCATTCTGGTATTTCACTGATATTCTTGCTTGTGTCTACTACCTTTGAACATAGAATAATAAAGAATTAATGTTAACTCTCGCAATCTAAACTTGTCAAGTTTTGCGACCTAAGCACAAAACTCGGCTGAATTGACCAGTTCTCTTAATTGAATACAGTCTCCTCACCACTGATAACAGATTTTAATTAAAGCTATTTTGTAGTTTACCTTCATGTAAGAAACAGAGAAGAGTAGCTGACAGAAATTCCACACTTCACCCCAGAACTCAGCATAATGGTCTATTGACCACTGCCAAAGCTGTTTGTAGTTTTCTGAAATTGTGAAACACTTACCACACATAGCATACACAGCAGATTTGTAGATTCGTACACACAATAACACCAGGATAACACGTATAGTGCGTACATGATCAAGAAGTATTTGACATTATTTACCAAAGGATTAGAAGGATATCTAGGTGGCATATATAGCTGTACTAGTAAAGCCCTGGAAATGTATTCATAGCATATCGAGCTAGGCGGTACAGCAGAGTACCAGGCAGTTTCTAAGATCAGTAAGATACGGCATCAACCCATACGCCAGTACCTTGGTCTGGCAGCTATTTACATGACATGACCCATTACTTGCAAGAACATTTTCGCACTCACACTGGAGTTTTCAAGTGAAAAATGTGAATGAGAAGTAAGGAGCATTTGGCTTTCAGCATATACGGTCTTAAATAATGTAACTGTTATGCTAACATGTTTAATAACATCGCATAGAGCAACGTATTAGCCAGAGAGCTGTGCAGCACTGATTTGCACGATCAGTTTTGAAACTGCACGACCAAAAATGTGTAGCACGGCCTAAAATATTGATCTAAAGCCGTGTACATTTGTAAAATTGCATTCCCAAATATTTTTCCTGCACTCCCACAATACTCATTCCCGGCTAATACAATGGCATAGAGTGGTCAGGACGCATCACATAGATTCACGTACAGTACACATATGTCACGTAGACAATCAGATCCCATAATGTATATATTATATTATAATAACCCCTATTATATCCCTATCGACTAATAATTTCAAGTAAATGCCATGGAGTTTGCCTTAATTTGGAGTTTTACAGGGGAATTCACCAAGTATCACTAGGTTAAGTTGTACAAGACTGTGAGGTGGAGGTAATGTCGACACAAGTGCACATTAATTGCTAATGGCAAGGATGCAGAAGGAGGCAGTTTGTTTGTATTTCTTGTGTGATGGGTGAAATGTGCAAGTTGTGTAAATTTGAGCGCTCACGTGTCGCATTCTCATTGCTGATATATCTGTAAGTTTGTGCACAGTGGCATTCACTGGTGAATTGTTGTTACAGTTGGCCACTTACCTAAGTTTAACCGGTACTGTTTTTTGACGCTATGGCGAAAATCTGTTCATCTTGCGTCACATTTGCGATCGGGGCGCGCACAACACCATCGTTACTCTCATCTCCACCAGCTCCACCATATAACTTGCAATCGCAATCCATATGGTGTGAGATAGAAATTAGCGGTGAGGGCAAGGCATCGCGCTGTATCAGTACGTCATTTCCAAATATTTATATTATAACAGGCAGTGTCGTCTGAGGTTGACTATGAATTACCTACTTCCATGACTCAGCGGTAACTACTGCGACGTACCCATCTACTGCTGTAATGGCTTAACCACAACAAGGTGCGTGACTATGCGCGCGCACGACGCGAGTTATTTTGCTCGAGTAAATGCTCGAGTCATTTAATCACGTGCGGGATTTCGTTGAGTATTTGACTCATGGCGTCATTTTACTCCGTTGCGGCGGTTTTCGTTCGAGTAATTTGACTCGTGCGTCATTTTACTTGAGTAAAATAACTCACGTTTGCGCCGGGTTAACGTCAATATACACAGGGGTCTCCTAACCCTAGCAAAGACCGTTTCTTGGAGCTATATCATCAATCATCATCATGGCTATGATTTCGCCGGTATTATTTCCGGTGCGTTTCACTCCATAAAAGGAAGCACATCACACCGTAACATGGTAATTACGTGAAACTTATAGCTATGGGGTCGTCGCTCTATGCTTGTGTCGCCTTAACTAAATCCGCAGTCGCTTTCGTATCAATGTTTGAGTTTCTACTTTGGAGGAGTGTATATCAACTCACGATGGCACCAATGGGCGCTGACATTGTAATCATACCTAACTAATTATTATTGGCCGATAGGTGGCGCATAAAATGGCAGCGCCCTGGCACAAGAAGTAGAATTTCAGGTGAAAAGCTCGTAATCTAATAATGATTTGTCTTCAAAGTCCACGATACCATATTAAAACCGGTGAAATAATAGTAATCGGAGAACATAATCGTAGTTCATAAAACATCGATGATATCGGTGATTAGTAATGCATGTTGTAGTAACAATCGGTTGTGTAAAACATCACTTTTTGTTTCATGTTATTGTTAATGTTATTATTATTAATATTAATTATTATAGTACCTTTCTGCTAAATCAGTAAATGTAATTTGCATAACTATAAGTGTAAATAAAGTGATTGAATTGAAAATGCATGGTATTTAATTTTAATATCTTGAATATTATTATTAAGGATATTACTAGCCTAGTACTTAGTACCTACTACTTGTACTTGTAGTAACATTTACAGAGTTTTAAAAGCCTGTCTAGTGTCCTGAAAATGTGTAGCCAGTGTAGGCACTGCATGTGGTGACTCCTGAAAATTAACGAATTCATGGCCAAATGGTGATTCTAATTTCACTTGCGTTTTCATGCATGTAGGTTACCCGTACCTTGCCATGCATCATCGCCAAGAAACGGACACTGATCTCTAACGGATGGTAACAACGACGTGGTAGACAACCAGCACGCTGCATCTGCCTAGTAGACGAATCATCGAGCTCATCTACTCGTACAAATACGATGAAACGAGCGCCTTTCCTGATTCCCCCACGCCCACGTGTGCAGCAGTAATCTCAAGCTACCAACCGCAGTCATGGATCAACCCCAGCAAGATGGCTCCACCGAGCCGCCGCTGGACGCCGACTCCGCGGAGGTTTGCTTCGGCACGCCGCCGCTGTCGACGTCGTCTCCGCGCGTGGACCGGAGCGGGAGCGGGGCGGCGGTGACCCCGCGTCAGGGCGGGGTCGATCGTCTCGAGCGTCAGCTGCGCACGCAGTCGGCCGCCGAGCCGAAGGCGTTCGTCTCCTACCACGACGTCGTCGACGAGCTCGCCTCAAAGCTCGGCATCGACAAATCGCCGCGGCGATCGCAGCTCGAGCAAGAGGACGATGAGGACGAGGAGGACGGGGAGGAGGATGGCGAGATGGAGCAGTTTTACCGCGCGATGCCGTCGCCGGCGCACAAACGAGGTCGCATGGACGAGAACCTTCACGAGCGGCCCGGCGTGGAGACGCTCGTCAAGAAGCAGGGCGTGCCCGTCTACGGCACGATCCCTGTCGTCGAGGACGTACACGTGCGTGCCGAGCACGCCGGCCAGGTCGACGCCGCTACCGTGCCGCCGCCCGACAACGCAGCGCCACCTACCCCGCCGCGCGACGCCACTTCCCCGGACGACGAGGAGAAGCCGGCGGAGGTCGGCAACGGCGAGGGCGGCGCGCTCGCGGAAGGAAAGGAGGAGGGTAGCGAGGCGGCGGCATCGTCGTCGTCGTCGTCGGTGTACGACATGACGAGGAATGCGCGCTACTACCTGCAGCATCCGTGGGCGCGGCTCGTCGTCGCTTACCTCGTCGTCGCCTGCAACTTCCTGATGTTCGCCGAGGACCCGGTGTCGCACAGCCGCGTCGAGTGCGCGATCCCCGTCGTCGGACACGCGTTCTCGTTCGTCGCGATGCAGTACCCGGACGACGCGTGGGCCGCGCTGAAGGTACGACGGCGCACGCTCGCACATGCGCACGCACGTTCACGCACATGCACATGCATGCACGCACGCACACGCTCGTGCACATGTTCATGAATACATATCCACGCTCACAGACACAAACACACACACACACACACCTAAACGCACATACACACGCGCACACACACACGCAAATACACGGACACACACACACACACGGACTCAAACGCTCGCATGCATGCTCACGCACACACGCACGCACGCAGACGCGCAGACACAAACATGCACACATGCTCACACGCACTCGTCGTCCTCCCACATTCTCCTGTCCTGGTCCCTGTCACTGTCACTGCCCCTACCTCTATTCCGGCCCCGTCTCTCTCCTGTCACTGTCCTTGCCTCTGTCTTGGCCCCTGTGACTGGCCTAGTCCTTATCCTTGACTCTGTCCCTGCCCCTGTACCTGTGTCTGTCCCCTATATTATAGCTATCACCATCATCATTCCTGCACTCTGCCTCGCACAGTCTTGTTAACGTGCAGGGGCGTAGCTACGGGGGGGCCTGGGGGGGGCACGAGCCCCCCACAAATTTTCTGTGCCCCCCAGGTGCCCCCCCACTGAAAATTCATGCTTGATAAAAAAACCAGCGTGCGGCGGAATTTTCGTTGAGTAATTTGACGCAATGCGTCATTTACTCACGATGTCGACGGATGTTCGATGAGTCACAATGTTGACTCGTGCGTCTTTTACTTTGAGTAAAATAACTCACGTGTGCGCCGGGTTAACGTCACATATACACAGGCGGCCTCCTAACTCAGCAGAAGACCGTTTCTGAGATATATCATCAATGCATTATCGATGGCTATGATCTTTCGCCGTATGTATTTCCGGTGCGTTCAACTCCATAAAAGGAGAGCACATCACACCGGTTGTACCAAATGGTGAGGGTGATAATTCGAACAAGTGCACAATTAATTGCTATGCAAGGATGCCAGAATGGAGGCAGTTGTTTGTGATTTCTTGCTGTGATGGTGTGAAATGATGCAAGTTGTGTAAATTTAGCGCTCTCGCATTCTCATCTGCTGAATATTTCTGCAAGTTTGTGCACAGTGGCATTCACACGGTGAATTGTGTGTTACAGTTGGCCCAACTTACCTAAGTTTACCGCGTACTTTTTATTGACGTCTATGCGAAATCTGTCCATTTGCGTCATAATTAACGGATCGGGGCGCCACAACACATCGTTACTCTCATCTCCACCAGCTCCACCATTAACTTCCATCGCAATCCTATTCACTTTAAATTAGAAATTATTGCGTGAGGCAAGGTAACTCGCGCCTGTATCAGTACGTGCATGTTCAAATATATTATATATACAGGCAGTGTCGGTCTGAGGTATGACTATGAATTACGCCTACTTCATGAATCAGGCGTAACTACTGCGTACGTACCATCTACTGCTGTATCATGGCTTAACCCAACCAGGCTGCGTGACTAATGCCCGCGCACACGCGAGTTATTTTGCTCGAGTAAAATGACTCGAGTCATTTACTCACGTGCGGCGGATTTTCGTTGT